AAATTAATCGATATTTTAATAAAATAAAGTAAAAGAAAATCCTGCTTTTAATAAAAACAATCCTTTAACTTCCACACTTAATACAATAGCGGAAAAATAAAATTTTTATACTTGATTTTCAACTTAAAACAAAAAAAAACGTTCAAAAAAACAAATTTAAATCTTCGATATACAAACATTTTTATTGCCGGCTTTTATGACATTATTATGTAACTATTGCAATTCAAAATAAAAATATCGTAAAATACGCACACAATACGCGGTTCATAAATATAATATTGTATATGAATAAATAATTTCACCTTTTTTATCCACTTCAAAATATAACCTTCTTTTATGTCGCAGAATTTATCGAAATCACATACGAAATCGAAAATAAAAGTGAAAAAAACCCATTAATTTTATATTTTACTGGCTAATTTTCAATTTTGTATCTATAAAATTCGAGATTTTAAAAGTTACCATTATTACTCGTATAGTGAATGTTAACAAAATCTTAACACTCACATTATATGAAATTGAAAATATGTGGTTATGTATATACGGTATTACGGTAAAATAATGTATAACAACATGGCGGTAATATAAATAACTGTTATTATGGTTTAAAATTTTTGTTATTGTTTGCCACCAATTATGACATAACCGGTCACTGGCACGATTTGATGTCACCGATAGCACATACGCAAGTATAGGTATAATTTTTTGTGTGGTCATAATTGAACTCGGATTTGTTTGTTATAGGTTTTTCTCTTATACATGGTACTTTTTTTTTAATTTTTTAATTTATTTATTCTTTCATCTATTTTTGTTTTTCTCATTAATCATAATAATATAGCAGTTAAAAGTATTTACCTACTTTTTATCTTTTTATATACGAAAAATAGAAACAAAAGGAAAAAAATTACAAACTAGTTAAATTTCTAACAAAAAATAAACGTGAGCAGCTTTATTTTGTCTGTTTTTTTGTTTTTGTACAAAAATTGATTTGAAATTTATTTGAATTGAAAGTAAAAAAAAATGATATTGTTTCTAGTTCATTTATTTCAGTTTACGATATTTGTCATTATTTTGGAGAAGAAAATATAAATATATTAAAAAAAAATCACTAGAGGGCTTCATCACGTTTAGTGAAATTATGATTGGACCACACAATTTGATGAAAACCCTGCAGCTACCATTTCGCATACACCCGAACCCTGCAACAGACCAGAATATGAAAAAACAATCATAAAAATTTAAGATAAATTATTTGGTTAAATAAGATTAAAATTATTAATTTTTGGGACAGGAGAGCTATAATTTTGTGAATTGTTTGAAATTTGACTATGTTGAGTGCGTTTTTTAATGTGTGTATGTATAAAACCCGTAACACGTAATTACGTTGTAATGCAGGACCTTAATTAAACAACTTTTCGGTAGGTGCTTTCCGGTGGTACAGTCATAATAAAAAAAAAATGAATTTAATATTTTTCAGTTTTATTCACTACAAGAGTAATGCTTATTATCAAGAGGTGCTTGGGTGAAATTTTATGAGTGTGCATCTTCTATAAGTTACGAAGACCTCGTCTTCAAGTCCACTATTTTTATGGTAAATTTATAATTTGTTATTATTACCAAGTCAAATAACTTCTAAATAATCAAATCAAAAATTCGTACTTTTCACTTTTCATAAGTCATGTAGAAAGTTCATTAGTCATGTATCATATGATTTTGACAGTCACCTATACATATATGATTTATAGAATGTAATTTACCTAATATTTTTAAAAATTTAAAAGTATTGTAAACATAATATTAATTTATAAACAAACACTACCTAATTGCATAACAATCTAACAATTGTAAAATTGGTTTGTTCATTTTTATGTTTAATTACCGTACTAAAATATAGGCTTTTCAAACAAGATATACTCTCTCTGAACTTTAGAAAAAATTTAGGAAAAATTTAAAGGAAAGAAACTTATTTTGTACGTTTACAATGACGTCGATAATTTTACTAGTATTAACCTCTACACCTATTTAAATTTTTTGATTTTTTTTATTTATCATGAAATTTTAATACAAAAAACATGCTCATACTACGAGTACACTGCAACTATATACTTAAATATATTTACAGTTATCTGTATATATGTATGTGCATCAGTATAAACGAATAGTGAAAGCTTGTAAACAATCATTAATGAATGTTGAACGCGTATACTATATAGACAATCACATACAAACAAGTAAAAAAATTTGTTGGAATTGTTGCATATTGCAGTTTAACAATATCGTATATTAAAGTATTATAATGTTATTTTTAACGTTTTTTTTTTGCAATAAAGTAATTTTCCGGAAAACTTGATATAAAAATTGATTACCGTATAGAAATAGAGAAGTTTAAGAAATGATAAAAATAAAATGAAAACGCACTTAAAATTTTTATAAATTTGCACACGTGCAAAGTTTATTGATGCTTATTCATTATGACATTTTGTATAAAAATAGTCAATTTGCCTTCAAAAATGTTGGTTTAGAACTAATATTGTAGCTTTAAGTGAAACGCGCTATTAAAATATTAACGTATAATATTGTATACTTTTTAGGATAAATCAAACTTTTTACTGAGAGGACGATATTATTGTACCATTCTTAATGCTATATAGAAATTCGATTAGAGCTTAGGTTAGGTTAGATTAGGTTGTCGCGGCTCCCCGAACCGAACATAGGCCAAAATGGAGCTTATATTGTCAAAGAAATCGAAATTATTTAAGAAATATTTGTTATGGAAAAACGACTTTCCAAAAATTTGCAATTTCATAACTAAAAGGAGCTTTAATATTAAGAAAAATTGATGGACATGCAAAAATAATGCTCCCATTAAGAGCATATTATTAAAAATTGTCTTTTGATGTTAAAAATATGATCTTTCAAATTTGAACGCACACATAGAATGTAAGCAGACTGATAAACCAAAATCATATTAATAAGCATATTTTTTTTCAAATTATTTTGAAAATTTTTGAAAAATAATAATTTTCAAAACTAATAAAAAATTTTGTCTTTCATAAGAGTTTTAGAAAACTTGTCCGCATTGCATAATGTGATGGGGAATTTTTTTATATAGAAAAAATCATTTTATAATATATATAGAAGATATAGAAAATAATATTTTTAAAAATACAATTAATTTTGTATAACTTTATCCCCTAAGTCAAACAAATGCATATTTTAGGGAACATACATATATAATTACATAAATTGTATATGAGTTATTCAGTTCCGAGAATGATAGCCCTTTACTTATACAAAATTAAGACGTAATCAAACGTCATATCAAATAAATCTTTTAAATTTGAACTATCACCCATCTTAAATGAGCATGCCATTTGATTTTTGCTCGAGTATTAATTCGAAATTGGGCGCTCAAATTGGAAAACTATTTATATTTTCAGAAATGATAAAATTTTCTACATTCATAAGGAGAAATATGAATTAAAACTAATTCAAAATTGTATATCATTGAAAGAAAGGACCAAAAGAGAATAAAAGTCAAACAAAATAATATAAAAACACTGAAAAATACTTTTGTTTTGCCAATTATTCAAATAAATTTCAAAGTATAGATTAAATATTTTTCTATTTATAAAATTTCAATTTGACTCCAGAAAAAACCTCATAATACTGTGCCTTTTATATTTCAGATTTTAGATATTCGATTTGAAAATTTAATTAAAATATTATATCGTCGCGACACTTAAATATAGCCACTATCGTCGCCACAATAAATAAATTTGAACACTTTTTGCAAAATTTCCTTATAAATAAAAACAATTTGAGCGAAAAGAAATTTTTAAAATTATTATTAAACTCGATAAACTGAAATAACAACAATAAAAGTTATAATTATAGATAGTAAAAATTAACTATATTAGATTATATGAGGTAGTATATAGATAAACTTTTTATTAATAGGTAGATACCTTTGTACATTGTGTTGTATTATATACAAAATTAAAATATTTGAAATTTAATTTATTGAAAATTCATTTATTAGGTTAATTAGATTATTCCATATAATTAATAATTATATAGGTGTATATATTGTTATTTGTTATTATTTATATTTCTAAAAGTATTTGAAGTTAATGTATACAATGTTAAATTAGAAAAACTAAAACTGCAATAAATATTATTAAAAATTTTCTAGGTGGTCTTATTGCCTACCTTTCCATTACTAATAGGAAAAACTTGTTTTGAATATAGCCTAAGTATATTATTTTAAAATGCTTTATGCACATTTACAAATTTTCTTAGTTTTTCGAATTTATTATTACAATTTGAGACATAAAGATTATTATTAAAAAATTAAGATTTGGTTAGAGGCATCATTCATATAGCATTTTTGCAGGATTGCTAAAATAAGTGAGAAAGTTTCTACAAATGCAATATAATTAAACTAAATGCAGATATATACTATACTAACAACGTATACATACAACTACTAAAACTGCCACAAATCGGATGCTTATGCTATAAGATTTTTAAGTTCAAAGTGTGCTACTACATTTACGATATTTCCAAATTTTAAAATATAAAAATTGATTTTGGCAATCCATAACGTCCATAATTTTTCATTTGGCAATTCATAATTTTTAATTATAGGCGACGATTAGAGTATAATCCAAAACCATACAGTATTCTTTTATGCAATACGCAAACTAATTTTAGTTTTCATATTGCAAAATATTCCAAATGAAAACGATTTGCTTTTCAAACTCTGCAAATACCATATAATCTCTTCCATCTCATACCATTTGCTTAAATTAAGTTGTTGTAAGTTTCTTATCATCAACTTGTTATTGATGCTCTAAAAACTACTCATAATGAGAAATTATTTAAATATAACTAATGTTCACATCTTATTGAATTGCACTGTGTTCATTGTTAATATTACATACTATACACATACATATTGTAATTTTTATTTATATATTATGATTTCTTTTACTTACCTTTCCATTACTAATTGGTATATTGAATATATCTAATTCCGGTTTACTATTTGTTACTGGTAATGCATTACATACTGTTGTTAATGTTGTTATAAAGCATAAAAATGCAATTACTCTAGTATTGTATTGCCTCATATTTGTAAATTTAAATTTTATTTATAATAGGTTGGATGTATATGTACGTATGAATTATTTTGTCAAATTTTTTTTTTTAATTTTTTCTTTTAATATAAATTAAATAAATATGTTTATATATATATAAGAAATATATATATATATATTTGTTTGATGTATGAAAAGAATTAAATTAAAACATCAATATAACAAAAAAAAAAAAACAAAAATTAAATTAATTTTTTTATAAAAAAAATTAAAAACAAAAAAATTATTCACTGATTTTAAGTTGGATATCGAAGTGCCTATAATTTTCTAGTTCTCTTGTTCCCAAATGAATGCTGAAAATAAAAAAAAAAAATAAAAAAAATTAATTGAATTTGTATCATTTAAGCAATCTTGAAGTTTAAAAGTCTTTTAAGTTCTAGATCTAATAAAGCAATAATGAAAGAGAATATTGTTAAAAATATTGATTTTTGGAATCAAAATATGTACATAATCACACTTTTAGGCCTCAGTTCTGATAGAACGCATTCCCAAATAGAAGAAAATGTGCATATTATAATTTCTCTCTGTTTACAAAACTTTGTCAAAAAACCTCTTTCTGTAGTAGGAAATTTTCAAATACCATAAATATATCATACAAAAGAACTGTAAAAATTATTAAACAAGAGCAACCAATTACTTGAATATAAAATTTAAATGACTTTGGTTTCTTATAGGTACTTATACTAAATTTCATAAATAAAGAACGTATCCTTCATTTAATTTTATTTTTACTTTTTATAGACGCTTATTATAAAAATAGTTATGTTATTGTACAAAAACATTTTTATATCACATGTGTATTAAAATTTTAAATACCAGGCTATCACAAGTGTAAAATATAGGTCATACCATAGGACGTATGTATCTACGTACACATGCGTTTTATTTACGTAAACAATAAACATGATACAAATTCCATTTGAAATTAAAATTGAAATTAAAAATAAAAATTTTAGGTCATCAATGATCAAAATTATAAACTCTAATTAAAAATTTAATAACAATATAAAACATAGACCTATCGTGGATAACCTGCTGTCTAAGCATTAAAATTTAATTTGAAAATAAAATTTTTAGGGTTGTCATTAATACTTTATGAAGAAATGAAGGAAATATGTAGGAAATAATAAAAATAAAAGGTCGACAATATATTTAAAAATAAATTAAATGAAAATCTTAAATTTTAGAATGGACTTTGTAATTGAACACTGGAGATTGAAGTGATCGTTAAGTATTCTGAATTTGGGAATTAATTTTTACAGAAAATCAGGAATTGTGCATAATTTTTAAATTATGTTTTCAGTATAAAACTTGCATATTGTCTAACATTATGAAAGTATCATAATGGTCAATCTTTTAAATTACAAAAGTATATTCTAAATAGGTATATGTTTATTTTTAGTTAAAACTTTAGTGTCTAGTGTTTCTATTGAAATATTAATATGAAACTTACTATGGTAAATTGCCAAATTACAATTTTTACTTGAAACGTGTTAAAAGTCAATTATGAATTCATTTCGATTACCAATTATCATCAAAATCTCCATTATTCAGCTTAAAATAAATATTATTGTGAATGTAGTACTAGCATCACCATTTTTAACAAATTAGAGTATATTGTGAATTTGGGAAACAATCTAATTTGAATCCTTTTATGTCTTTAGGAAGATAATTAGTAAAATTAAAACGGACAAAAAGTTTTTCCTGATATTAACGCCAAAACTTAAATATTTTCTGATACGCGGATATTTAAAATTACACCATTGCCTTTTCAATGACACAAATTTATATGGAATCCTGAATCCACATGATCTAAATAAATTTAAAAATAAATTCTTTTGACTAAATTTAATAATTTTGAGCAACTACGTACCTATTCCCGTAATTATTCGAAATAAAGGAAAGAACAAAATCGAATGTAGTGTTTAGCTTCAGTGATTAGTCACGATTTCTTTAGCTCCAAAAATTTGTCTGGATGTTTGGAATTTTATTAGAAAAACAATGAATAATTAATAGACTGCTAAAAATTTTATTTTTATTGGTAAAATTTAGTTCTGCAGTATGAATTCTAATTGATTAATTAATATGTAAGTATATAAGAATATTAAAATCAAAATATGGTAGCATTTCCATAATTAATTAACAAGAAAATATTGAATAATAAAATCAAGGTGATTTAAAAATCATAATTCAACAACACACTCTTAAAACAAACTTGAAAAAATTAATATTTTATAACTAATTAGTCATGTCTTTAAAAAATGCAATGTTTTTTTATTTTAGATTTCAATTTTCCAAAAAATTAAATTTAAAATATAGAAAATGCGTAAGTTTGTTATAAAATTTTAGCAAAATTTTCACGTTTTTTGGAACAAGTTAAAAAAACAAATAACAGAATTTCGGCACACTTCTTTTTCTCACGTTTGATGGAGAGTTTTATTACTTAAGGTTTGAAAAAAACATTCCACAATAATCATCTTTAGCAATTTAAATATTTTACTTAATAAAACTATGATTTAAAGTATGTACGGAATACTATTTATAATTTTAAATTTTTACAGTATGTTGCAGATTTGACATTTTGGGTAATTGAGACACGGTAACTCTTTTTTACTTAGGGTTCGCAATTCACATTATGTTGTAGAGATTCGAAATGAAGACAAGCTCCTAACAAATTACATAAAAAAAAATAGATTAATTTATAATTATAAACTTTGTATCTATTTTTAAAACAAATAAATCATCACGTAATGTCATATTTTCACCAATTAATCGTATCATGGCCCATTTCTGCTTAATAACCAAAATATTTTAAACAATTTATCTTTAATTTACAGGTGAGTGTACACTTATACAATTCTTTTACTAAATGTATGGAGTTAATTTCATTGTAATACAGCAAACCAACGCGATATCTCTGTACGCGAGCCATTTTGCATGTACAAATATATTTATTTTTAAAACAAAAGTTTAAATTTGGTTAAACCGTGACTAGCACACAAAAATTTACTACACTTATTTACATACACTTACACATATCTCTATGAATATTTACTAATATGCGTTTAAATTACAAAATATGTATTTAAAAATGGAACTAATTTTGATACGTAAACCTAATTTGTTATTAAGCTCGTAAATTTTTAATCATTCATATGAACAACCATTAATCTAGTATTGAATTTTAAATATGTATAAGTATGTATCTCAACCAATATTAACAAAAATTATTTATTAAAGTCAGTAAAGAAATGTCATTTGCTTTTTTATATTTGAACTATGTTAAATTTTGCGTTAAATGTCTTGAATAGTTAATCATTAAAATTAAATGCAATTAAACTCTTTATTACGCAAGGGAAACAAGTTTTTTCAAATATTTTTTTTACATCTATTTATTATACATGTGCATATGTAGATATGTTTGTATATATATTTATTTATAATCTTTATCACGTACTATTAATTTTAGTACAGAATTTGATTAAGTTAAATGACCCAACTTTGAGGTACATAATTCTATCAGAGTGAAGTAATTTTGTTTGATACAAGAAAAGAAATGAAAAAAAGTGAAATGGCTAGTCATTGCGCACAAAAACTTATTTTGAAAGTAAATATACATATATTTCTTAATATGGCAAATCTAGTATGCCCTAATTATAGAAATCTATAAACATTAAAATTGACAACTACTTGTAGTTTAAGTGAGTGAAGCCATTAAGTCCTATAATGTACCTATATAAACTTCTATTTAAAGATGTCTTTGGTGAAGCCCACGACTGTCGGAAAAAATACTTTGACATATCAAAAATGATATTTTTGTTATGTCAAGATGAACACACCAAATTGAAAACATGTATTTTACTCTAATTTTCATTTACTTTTTTTTATGTTAAATTTAATGTGATTTCTAAAATTATTGGTTATTTTGAATACCTGAGTTTACGAACCTACTTTTGCATCTATGGTTGACATAGAAACGTTTCATTCCTCTTACCCACAAGCTGTGTTGTAGCAAAAGTTGTCGTGAAAACAAAGGTACTGACAGGAAAATCTAATTTATTTTTCGATGCGTTAAATATATAAATGTATTTTAAATTTTAGTTCCTGTAATCAATTTTTATTGTTACAGAAATGTAAACTCATGCGATTAAATGTACAAAATAACTCTGACATCTTGAAAAGAGTAGTTTGACATTTCATATTATACAATAATAACATTGTCCATGCCTCTGATACTGCTGCCGGGTAAAATTCAAAAATATAAAAATTTAATCATAGAATATAAATTTCATCAAAAATAACAATTTTGGTTACATATGTTTTAACTTTGAACTGAAATGTTGTTTTTACAATATTCATTTTCATTTCATACTCTATTGAATACGTAATTAAATATAATTTAAGAATGATTTGTGCTTCATAAGCACACTTTATATTTTGCTTTATCGCCTAGACATTATAAATTTAATGAAAAATTTATAATAATCTTTGACCAAATGTGATTAAAATTATATGTATGTAAATACCATAGAGTAGACAACTTCAACGATTAATTTATGTAACACACGGTGTATCAATATTAAATGAACAAAACTTCAATGTTTTTATATTAATCATATAGGTAAATTATGCATACGTATTTCATTTTCATATTGGGTTTGCGCCAGTAGTTAAAATAATAAGTTTTTAAAATATAAAGCAGTCAATTTGATAAACAAAAAAACTAAAATTCGCGAAATTCAATTTTAAATTAAATTTTTATATTAATTGTATGAATCGACACTTATCGAAAACCGACATACAATATACATATACATATATATATACGAATTATAGTCGAGTATATAAGTTGAAAAGTAATAATACATTCATACACGTATATTTTTACATATTTCTTTTTCATTTATAAATAATATTTACATAATTTTTTGTATATAGTTTGTGATTTTATAGCCCTGACATGAACCTTACACTAAATTTTCGATTATTCAACATTTTAATTTATCATTAGGTCAAGTGATAGTTATAATAAGCTTGTTAGCTTTTTTATTTTACTTCTTTTTTTGTTATTAATTTCCCACAATTTTTAATAATTAATAAATAAGATTTTCTG